TAAAAACTACCAAATGCTGAGGATACAGTACTATATGACATGTGACACATGAAATAATTAAAATTTGGGGTCACCTAGCCTGGTTTGCTATGACTTATTTCTGTCAACACTCTGCCAAAAGGGTACATTATATACCAACCTTTTTATTATTATTATTATTATTATTATTATTATTATTATTATTATTATTATTAATATTATTATTATTATTATTATTACTTTATTTAAAGAAGGTAACACAATTAGCTAAGAACTAATCATAACAATTAGCTAAGAACCCTGTTAATTTTACCCTTTGAAGACACCAGCTGGGCATAGCTAAATACAGTAGGTGGATTGGCCAATTGGGTTTCATTGACCTTGGAGTTTTTGAACAAGGCATTATGTCATTAACTGATGTATAGAGACCATACTGACCTGTAGACTTAAAAAGTCTATTGATTTCTTTTGTACCCTTAGTGTAAACTTTCATAACCTTTGGTCAAGGAAAAATTGGAACAAACATTACTAACTAAAACCCCATTTTCCTTTGAGCCACATTGAAGCTAACCATCAAGTTTTGACCACCAAAACCAATGGACCCTTTTCTCAACTAGATTGTGTCAGCTCTTCACAAAATCTGGTCAAGGTACACTGTCTAGAATACAGTAATTATGTAATAATCCTACAGTTATAGTGACCTTTATTGTTCATATTATTACATCAAATTCAACAGATGTCTTCCTATCCAAATAATGAGCCATCCATAAACTTTGGTGAAGGTTATAATAGAGTTGAACAATGAAATTTACATGCAAAAACAATTTATCAGCAATAATGACCTTAAACTTTGACCCTCTTTACTCCATTGATAGCCATCAATAAGGTTAATTCAAGTCTGTGATGTAGACCAAATGTTACTGAACAGAAACCATTTCTATTTTATCAGAGTAACAGTGACCTTGACCTTTTTCCATTAAATCCAAACTGAATAAAATTGTTCCACACTACAGTTGAATACTATCCTTAAAGATTTATGCAGGTATGCAATGTAGAACAGGTATGTAATCCAGAACATGTGTGTCAAATTAGGTGGACACAATTGACATCATATAAGTGGACCACTTGACATCATATAAGTGCATTTTTTAAGAGTAATATTTTTAATATATGAGTACATTAACAGGACATAATTTAGAATTAAGCACACAAGGTAACTCATAAACAACTCTAAACATTAACAAGCAAATAGGCTTTACCTTGGTGTTACAGAAGACAGTTTTTATTAGATTTAATGTTGAAATTATGCTAAAGAAAAATAATATTTACATTTTTCTCCTGATTTTATATACTCTAAAAAGGAACTCAAATGGAAGTCTGACTGAATTCTCTTATTGTTAAGGATACTGTTGACACTATTGTAATTGATATGGTAACTGATTCCAGGTAAACTAGTTTTCCTCATTGTAAAGTCACCTCTGTTCCATACAGGAAATCAAATGGAGAAAATTTTGGTGTGACAAAAATAGGTGAACAAGTGAACCATAAACAGTGTATAATAGGTCTACCCATGCTTTAACAGCCCTCTATATAGATAATTTGTTTTGTACATAAACCATTTTTCTTTTCTTAGTCACAAAGACATGAACTTGTTGTGCCCCAAATTTAATTGGCTTCCTCCTTAGTGTAAATGCATGCCTGTCATAAAGTTTGGTCTCAGTGCTGACATGATGTAGAACCAATATACAGTGCAGAAACTATTATTATTTGTTCATTCAGTGAACCTATGTGATCTTATGATACCAAAATCTAGTGTTCTTCCTTACTGCAACTGAATGCCATTCACAAAGTTTGGCAACCACAGACAATGCAGCAACCTTGACCTATGACCTTATTCAACCCAAGAGGACACAACATAAAAGACAACTTCAAACTGCAAAACCACATGACTGAAAAAATCCTCTCAGTTAGAAGAATATATTGTTCTCTACTTCAAGACACAAAAGAAAGAACCTAATGGATTATAACTTTATATAATGATCATGACTTTTACAAAATAAAAACCATAACCTGGATTATGTAAAATTCACATAGAAATTCCAAAACCTAAACCTAGATCCAAATAAACATATTTACTTCTATAGATAATAATTCTTGTTTTAGTCCCATACACAGATTATTTTAGCTATGTGTTAATTGTTTACACATAATAAAATAAAAAAGTCAATTTGGGTCAAGCAGAAATGAACTCAGTTTTGGACAATGTTGCATTATTTTAGCATGTAAAAAGCAAATTAAATATACATAATACTACTATGACCTTTTGAATCAGAAACTAATAGAATTTCTCTTATTCTTCTTTTACTTATGCAAATCCCAGAAAGTAGGTCACAATGATCCAGTTTTGGTATGCTACACATATAAATGCTGGAAAGGTAATTAAAGCAAACCAGTGTTGGTGCATGACATGTTTATCTCAAAAGATGCACAGTGTAAAATAGTATAGGAGTAACAGCCCAGATAGGTAAAGATAGACACAATTTTTAAGGAATTTTGGCATTATGGAAAGTAAGTCAAAGGAAAACAATTTTTAAACACAAAATGTACATTCTAAGAAACACCTTGTCCCTGTTAATATTGTATTAATAAGTCCTAGCATGAAGGCCACAGTGATTAAGTTTTGATCAATGATAATACATCCACAGCCACAAAGTATGATCTTAGTATGTGATGTAGAACTAACACTACCATGCTAAAACCATTTTAGCCATGACCTTTGAACTTTCAACTTTATGATTCTTCCTTATTCCAAATACAGGTCATCCACAGAATTTGGTAAATGCCATGGTTCACTACACCTTGAGAAATGGATGAACAGACAACATCATCACCTAATACACTCCTCCTTCATAGTGGTTGGGATTAAATATATTCATAATCTGTCCAGATTTCTTTCTGTTTTAAAAAACAATATACTTAAATTTACAAGTCAAATTGCAACTGAGTATGTTGAATGGTTCTTGACAAGCAACATACCAGGGGAAGATATAAAGTTAATTAAGGCCATAACTCATTTTCCAAACAATTTTTTTCAACTTTAAAGATGTGAAAGTTGTAATTTGATTAGTGACTTGAAAGGTCAACAAAACATCGCCATGAATCAATCAGATCTGTTATTCCAATATATTTATTTCAATTGGACTCATGTTACAGAGGTAATCCAGTTAAAGTGCAAGTTAATGAACAAACTGAGAGACTGATGAATGGAGGGAAATGGTGATTAATACCATGTTCCTGCTTCTTAATGTTAGCTCCTAATTATCCTAAGTAAATATTTGCATATAATATTTTAGGTTGGTCATATTATTATATATGGGGTTTTCTCTGATACAATATGGTAATTACACAAATAGGCCTAAAGTTGTGGATTAATAATAGGTACTATATATTCAGATATATGTGGTAAACTGGTTCCGTGAGTTTCTTTTGAGATAAATTAGATCCCTTCTTTCATATTTCAAACCTGAACAGTCTAGTTCATTATCCAAGTCAACTGAGTGTACTAATTCATATGAATATGAATTCTGTAGATACTTGACAACATGTGCCCTCTGCTTTAAAGCCTGATTGTATGGGGCCAACTGAAATCTGAATTAATTTTGTTGGTTTTAATGTAGCTTTCAACAGCTATATCATGCTGAGTAAATGTGAGCTAAGTGTCTTTACCAATGATATGCAAAGCACATGCTGAGTAAATGTGAGCTAAGTGTCTTTGTCAAGGATATGCAAAGCACATGCAGAGTAAATGTGAACTAAGTGCCTTTGAAAGTATACAAAAAGCACATGCAGAGTAAATGTGAGCTAAGCGCCTTTGAAAGGATACACAAAGCACATGAAGAATAATTGTGAGTTAAGTGCCTTTGCCAAGGATACACAAAGCACATGCATAGTAAATGTGAGCTACTTAAGGCCTTTGCCAAGGATACACAAAGAACATGCATAGTAAATGTGAGCTTAGTGCCTTTTAAAGGAAACACAAGGCACATGCAGAGTAAATGTGAACTAAGTGCTTTTGCCAAGGATACACAAAGCACATGCAGAGTATATGTGAGTTAAGTGCCTTTGCCAAAGATACACAAAGCACATGCAGAGTAAATGTGAGCTAAGTGCCTTTGAAAGGATACACAAAGCACATGCAGAGTAAATGTAAACAAGGATATACAAAGCACATGCATAGTAAATGTGAGCTACTTAGTGCCTTTGCCAAGGATACATAAAGCACATACAGAGTAAATGTGAGATATGTGCTTTTGCCAAGAATACACAGAGCAGTGGGCCATGCTGGTATGGTCAAGTATTGAATCTGTGACCCCTAGATCATGAGTCATACCAGCTACAAAAACTGTCTAAAATATGTACCAGTATCAACTTCTGCAGGAAAATCAATTATTCCTTGATCCAAACTTAGTCTAATTTCTCAAACATGTCAGATTGTGCATTTAATTTTTACCTGATAACATTCACATGATGCAGTCTTTTCCTCAATTCAATCTAACTTAACTTACTGAAGCAATGAGAATTTAAGTGGAGACAGTACAATAGTCTTTCAAAGGATTATGAATCCATGAAAAGACTATTACTTCTGTTCTTTGATTCTTTTTTATCATCACAAAGCCTTCTCTGATATTCTTGTGAAGCTCCAACATACCAATCTTTGTAACAATAAGTCTTTTTTTTTTACATGTTAGAGTAAAATTGCTCACAACACTCTTGTAAGTTAACATACCTGTGTGTGAGATTTGGATTATTAGCATAACTTTAACAATTTTTCAGTCATATCCCTACTATGTCTGCTGTGTGACAGTTTTATATAGCACTGGGGAATCATGCCACAGACATGTGGCATGATGTCCCAGTCAGTCAAATTATCCTGACACCAGGCCAACCAGTCCTAAACTAACCTCTTGATTCTGAGTGCCAAGTGAGGAAGCTGTTAGTACAAATTTTAGAAGTCTTTGGTATGACTCAGCTGGGGATCGAACCCATGGCCTCCCACTTCCTGTGGCGGACACTCTGACCACTAGACCACCAGAACAGTTTTCCCAAGACACAAGTATATTAACATGTTCCCAAGATATCTGCAAGTGCAGTGCCAAATTATTTGTCATTGACTTTGACCTTGAACCAAGCATCATGCCTCTGACCTTGAACCAAGTATGCCTCTGATCTTGAAACTAGTATCATGCCTTTGACCTTGAACCTAGTATTGTGGATTGAAAATCATTGTATGTATCTCGTTAAGATATACCCAGAGGTTTTAATATAAAAAAAGCTAGCTGTAGAAACTGGAAAAGTAGCATGAGGACTGCTGGGTAAAATCTTCCTCTTTAGGTTTCCTATTCAAATACTATATCTCGGGGGCTTTTTTTCCTGATGATCTGTTCCATCAGGTTCCATCCTTTAAATATGGAAAAATAATTATTATACAGAATCATCAAGTTCAATCATGAACCACGGAAATATATTCATTGTTCTCTGATTAAATGTGTGTGTGTTATTTGGATTTGTAACATAGCTTTAACAATTTTCATTCATTCAGTTTATTCTTTTTTGTAATATGTCTGTATTGTGGCAGTTTATTGCCATATTTAGCACGTGGTATCATGCTGCAGACATGTAGCATCATGTCCCACCCAATCAGGTCACAGGTCACATTGATGTCATTTTTATTTAGGACCAAATATATAAGGTGAAAACTGTTTTAGTGAAAACTGCATGGCAATATGACCACTATTTATCAAGTACCAAATTTTTTTAGAGCCAAATAATTACTGTTATACTTACAATGAAAATGTCGGGTCTATTTGACCATTTCTTTGCAAGTAGTAATTATACAAGATTTTCAAGACCACTAATGTGGCTGCCATATTACAGGTGTGATAGCCACCATTTTAAGTTATAACAAACTACATATAATAAGAATTCTTTCACTGAAAACCATGTGCTAAAAACAGTCACTTGTGGAAAAGTATAGAAATCACAAGTTTTCAAGACAGCCACCACAGTCATGAAATTGGTGGTCTCAAATGCACCACTTTTATTTGGAGCCAATTTAACATTATAAACAGTGAAATTGGATGCTTAGTGCCAACATTTCAATTTCATTCCAACTATATCTAATAATAAGAGTTTTCAGGAGAGATGACAAGATTTTCATGGCAGCTTCCATGGTGACCAACTAGACTTAAAAGTATTTTCATGACAACCCCATGTCAATATGATCATTCATTAAGGGGAAGTAACAATTGGATTTTAATGGTATTCATATGTGATGTCATAAGGACACCATTTCACTTAGACATCATAAGAAATGTTTTAGACACCATTTTCATTTAGACATCATTAGTAATATTTTAGTGAAATCCGCAAATCAATATTACTATTTAGCATCAATAAGATTTTCAAAAAGTGAACACCATGGTTTTTGCAAACATTTTTCATTATGACAAGTATGGTCAACATTTTCATTTAGGATCATCGAGACATCACAATAAGTCTTCAAGTGCAATCCCCATTTAAACATGACCCCTCCATTAAAAAAGAGTAGTGGTAACAAAATTTTCTAAATTCCAATATTGAATGTGTTGATGTGAATATAGTCTCAAATGTGCTAATATGCCAATGACCTGGATTGTGGTTATGTCCTAAATCATCTGATTTATCACAATAGTATAATCCAAAATGTCCATTACTGAATTCACTATAATTTAAAATTCCAAGAATATCATTCAGCACAAATTTCCAGTTAAATTAATTTAATACTTTAAATTAATTTAATAAATGCATCCAAATTTAAAACTGAACACAATAATAAGAATGATTCCTTCAGGTGTTAATGCAATACTCAATAATTTTTTAAATAACATTATATAAAAAGCTTAGACAAAATAACCAGGAAACAGGTCAGTCCACTCTCTAAAACATTCAAAGTTTTCAACATGTTTAGGTATTTCTAAGTGGAAATTAATAATGATTTTAATATTTGATCTATACCATAGAGCAATAATAGCTATGTATATTGTTGTTTACAAAGTAAATGTCACTTGTCCGGTACACCATTTACCCATTTACTTGACTTTGGAATGAAGTCACAAACAAAACACAGATATACATAACATAAACCAGTATTCATGTAAAAAACTAACAATACAAATGCACATAACAATATTCAGGAGCATATATAGTCATAACAAGATTTTAAAGAGGGCCACTGTCACAGCAGTCATATTGGAATTTTGTGGGGCAGTGTTTTATTTAAGACCAGCCTGAGTATGGGATGAATATGTGTGTGAAATTTCAAGGTAATCCTCCAAGTCATTTAGGTGATGTGGTGTTAACCAACTTACAGTAAAGGACAGACAATGGATAGACAATGGACAAACAAATGGCAGACAAGAGACAGACAATGGATAGACAAGTTATAAATAACAGACAGATAATGGCAAGACAATGGACAAAGGATAGATAAGACATAAGACAAGGGATAGACAAGTGATAGACAAAGGGCAGACAAGATATATACAAGAGACCAAAAAGCACTAAATGAGCTCTTCTGATCTATGACCACTCAAGCTGAATACAAAAGAAACAAGGGTGGAATTTTTTATTAAAGGTCATTTACCATGATCTCTATTTACCTATACTGTCACTGTAATATGAACATCTCCTACTGACAATACACTGGCATTCCCAATACAACATATACTAATAAACATTCAAGGAGCAGGAGAAGATAATGTGAATAATTTTATGTCATGGGTATGGGCTGATGGTAAGCAATCTTGTAAAGCTAAGAGTATCAGACTTCAGACAAAATTTGATTTATCTTATTTATCATCTATGTTTGAGAGATTTTGTCAGATGCATATAACGTTTAGAAAAATCAAATTTCCATAGAAAAGTCTACTTGGTCTTACAAGGTTTTATGCAGTACATCAAGAAATCAAGAGTGCCCTATAGCTCAAAGCTCCCAGGCATACACATGGCCATCCTATTTCCAACACTACATTCTAACACAATAATAGCAGAATCACACAGGGCCTTAACACTGAAAAACAGAAATGTTAAAAAAAGCATACAGTCCTGTCCAAAATGAGTCATACAAATCTCAACATAATCCTATCAAAGTACACAGGACAAAAATCCTATAAGTTGATAATCCTGCACAAATAAGCTAGATAGAAGTAATAAAGCTTATAAACCTGTCTAAATGAACAAGACAGCAGTCATACAAAGCAAATACAAAGACTGTGAGACAATGTTAGGACCAAATTGTATTGGACTAGGATGAATTCAGTCAGTTACAAGCAAGATACAATATCAAAGTGCTACATTAATTTTCAAGGGCCTTATCTTTATCCAAAATGAACAAGGGCCTTAACTTTATTCAAAATGAACAAAGGTCTTAACATTATACAAAATGAACAAGGGCCTTATCTTTATCTCAAATGAACAAGGGCCTTATTTTTATCCCAAATGAACAAGGGCCTTAACTTTATCCAAAATGAACAAGGGCCTTAACTTTTGAACTTGACACAACACATGAGGGCAAATACAGGTCTTTAGATAACGAACATACCAAATTGGTGTGTTTTTCACTTAAATGTTTGGTGTTTGAAAGGAAGGTCACTAATTAAAGTTTTAGTCAATTAGAACATCTTTATGTTGCAAGGATTTTCAAATACTCAGAATTCTTCGTGCTTGGGAATCCAGGCTGCAAGCGAATGACACTCATCTCATGGTATATTTTTCTGCTTCAGTATTAATATTAATTCACATAAACATGGTACCTGGTCCCAAATGAAAGACTGGGACTGATATCTGTTACAAGAAAGACTCTTCCCCAGATCTCACAGACATAGGTCTTGGTCCTAATGGAAATAAGGAGAGCTGATTGTCCATCATGGGAGAACATAATTTGCTATTTGTCTTCATGGATTGGGGAGGGTACTGCTCTTTACCATCAAGATACCAGGTCTCATCCCTGGGGAAGGGGCCTACTGATCATGAGAGTATCCACAGAGATCTGTGTACTCCAAAAATTATGATGAAAATGAGGAAGGAACCTTCCTATTTGTGTTATAGGTTTGTTTACACTCAACACAATCCCTGACCATGTAAAACAAGAGGCTACAAAAATCTGTTATCCCATAATCAGTACAAGATAAGCAAGTGGAGTGCATTTCCCACACACTGCTTATACATTGTTCCTGTAAAAGAAAGCTGAAAAGAAAACTTTTATACAAAAAAAAATCTCTGCACCTAATGGTAAACACAAGGTAATGTGTGGACTATGTCTACACTAAGTCCAATTTTAGTGAGAAGTCACCTTACTTGGGTGTATTTAATTATTATTATTATTATTATTATTATTATTATTATTATTATTATTATTATTATTATTATTATTATTATTATTATTATTATTATTATTATTATTATTATTATTATTATTATTATTATTATTTAAAGAAGGTAACTCAATTAGCTAGGAACTAATCTACCTTGAGGCCCTCATTCAAAGGAATTTACTTATTTTTGCTGCATCTCTGAAGCCACTGTATATACTGAGTTTGGAAAAAGGAAATAGAGTGGGCATTTCTAATCTCACCTGGAATACTAATCAAGAGCAAAGTTTCAGAATATTAGAAACATTTTTTAAATGCAAAAAGGAAGCAATCCCGATCTCATAACAGCAAGATATCAAAGACAATCAAGTCAGCCAGGCTTTAAAGAAAATTAGGAACTAATGAAATAGTTTTAAAAAACAATAGGTATGTTTACTAACAAAATGTGTAAAAATAAAGGAAAGCTATCCAAAACTAATACTGAAAATGAAACTGTGTTTGATCATGCAATATGAAAATAGAAAATGGTTGTGTGACCTGCTTTACAAGGTATAAACAATAGCACAATTCACAATCGGAAGAGAAAAAAAATTAAAAATAAAATGCAAAGCCTTACACAACATGTACAGTTGTTGTAGGTTTAACGTCATTTTCAGCACAAGACAGACTAAATTATGGCAAGCAGTATAACT